TTTTTCCTCTCTTGGGGGGCAAGGCAGGGGAGAAACACTTGCTTAGAAGGAGCAGCAAAATGGTTGAGAACATCAGTTCTTGAGTGACCTGCTCTGCCACAGACAAGTAATTTGAGGGAGAAAAAACCCAAACAAAAAACAATTCAATGTCACAGATAATAGAGGGAGAAATGATACTAATTACACAAATTGGAAGAACTCCTGTTACTAATTCTTTTCACAAAGCCAGGGTGTAGTCCACTTCTAATCTAGTTCAATAAAAGCCACAGGTAGCCAAAGATAGACATAAAAAGCAGTTTCATCCCAAACTGATTCAAGCTCCTGCTTCTGACTGCAGAAAAGAAAAAACTGTTTCATAATGATTTGAAGAACAGTATTAAACTAAACTACAAGATAAGGCTATGATTAAATTAAATAGCAATTGAAAACTGTTCCGAGTTTGTAAATAAAAAGACACCAAATTATATTGAGGTGTCTACAGCTTTGTATATCTAGCTCTTTTTAAATAATAGGGTTTTTTTCCCCAAAAACTATTGGCAAACTAGTGGCAAACATTAACTGCTGCATATTGCTTTTGTTAAATATCTTAATCAAGGAGTAGCTTTTGTGAGATGCTTATTTTAAAATTTTTAAGTGAAAAATATCACTCTTTAACCTGCTGAAACTTGGATATTTGTATAATGAGGAAATGCCTACTGATTTCACTTTCCCACTGGCAGTGGTTATCGACAAAGGCTATGCGTTACAATCACCAGGGAAACTTTAAAAATACATACCAATGCCTCTGCCTCACCTGCAGAGATTCCAAGTCTTGGAGTGGGGACTCTAAAGCAGTTATTTTTAATTCCCCAGGTGATTACAATGTACATTCATGACTGGGGACCACTGCCCTAAGAGGAAATAAACTATTTCACCAGTGCTGGAATCTAAACATAAACTATCAAAAATAATTAAAGGCACAGGAATCGATGAGGCAAGGAGAAAACTTTCTTCTATAAAATTATTACTTTAAATTACTCCTCGTTATTTATGCATCATTAACTAATAGTAGCAAAGGGTGGAGAAATAGCAAATTTAATTACTCTCAGTTAAAAATATCAACCAGAAATGAAGATGACTTCTCTGAAACATTGTCAATAGCATTTGGTCTACAAAATTAACCACAATGTTCAATATATTTATTACTTACTGATAATATAATATGCATTTTATGTTAATAAATTATTTAAAACTGAGGGAATAATGATTTGGGACATTATACCTATCTATCTGAGGTAGGCTACAAATTAAGGGACAAAATTTTAAGGTATTGGGTTAGATATGAAAATGATACAGTACTTCATTATCAGTATCAATATATTGTATATTTTGATATCATACACATATGACTTGTATATCTTTAATTACTTTATATATATATACATATATATAACTACACACACATATTTATGTATTCATTCATTCATTGATTTATACAGGCATTCTCCCCAAGGCCATTACCATTAAATCACACATTATATCTCCCTTAATCTTCAAAAGAACCTTAGGAGATAGGTATTATTATTACCCACATTTTACAAATGAGGAAACCATCTGCAGTCACAAAGTTAGTAAATCAGACATAATAGAAGCTTAATACATATTTGGTAAACAAATGCATATGAAAATTCAATTCTTAATGGTAGATAGAGAGTCAGACGTGTACAACAGTTCATCTGCACACTGAGTATAAGCCTTTTAGAACCTGTTTTAGAAACCTCTGTGCCAAAAGTCCTATGAAAACTGAGCAAGAACCCAGATATCCTTTCACTTCTCATATAGATGCAAGAAGCCTTAGTTTTCAAAAATGAATACTAAAATATAGATTCCACAGTCAAACCCCAGGCTTTCTGAATTAGAATCCATGCTAGTGAGGCCTAGAATTTGTCTATCTTTTAAAAAGCTTCTTAAGTAATTCATATGAATTTCAAGTATGAATTCCAAGTATAGAAACTACTGGATCTCATTCCTCATGTTTGTGATTTAATGAGTGTGGGTCTTCCTGGTGCTCCATAAAAAGGGCAGACAAAGAGGCTGCATGGACAGAGCAGGTGTGTTCCCAGTTACTGTTTCCTTTCTCAGAGGCTAAGAGGCAGCCATACAACAGAATATGGTGACTTAGGTCTCAGGCTCTGATACCAGACAGAACTGTTGAATTTTAGCTGTGCCACTGCTAGTTTGTTAAGTGGGGCAAGTTGCTTGATGCTTTAAAAGTCATATGCCTTTTCTGTAGAATAAGAATAATGACATTCCTTGTCTCATGGTAGGTGCTGGGGTGTTGTGGGAATTAAATAAAAACAATATATTCCTTACTGTATGACACAAGGTCTGATACCTAAAAAGCATACTACATCTCTTACCATTATTGAAGCATCAGAAAGTATTAGAGAGCAGAAAGGAGTCAGAGCTCTGACTGTCAGTGTGTCTTATTTTCCCAGGTTCGTTTATTTATCTTAAATTATTATTGTTCTAGGATAACCTCCCCCTCTCCCATTAAAGCTCTGAGTAATCTCATACTTCTTAATGATGTCCTTTCCATGTGGGGGAAAAAACTTTAAAAAAATTTTTCTGTGCTATTTCTATCTAAAAATATGACAATTTGACCCCCTCAGAGCTAATTCTAGAGTGTGTATACTGCAAATAAACTGATTTAGCTCAGGAATATTGAAAGCAAATATGGTGTAGTATTTTAAAATAAAAATTTTTACAGATGCATGATATGATTGGATTGTACCACTAGTAATCATATAAGGCACCATGCAAAGTACAATTCATAGACCTAGTTTTAAATTCGATTCTAATAAGTAAACGGATTTGATCCTGTTGGGGGGAAAGTGGAAGCACTAATCCAATCACTAATCCGATCTTCATTGCCATAAAAATTAAGGCCCGTCTACTTCCTTGGTACTAATGATGAGGCTAAATAGTGTATATATTTTTATTTACGTATTCAATAATACGATGCTCTGTTCAGTGAATGATGTTATTCTGCCACTTGGTGGTGCTTGCCAGTTTCGGAATTTGTTTCTTGGTGGCACTGTAACGCTAAGTACAAAGTAAGCTGAACAAAATCACAGCATTCCTATTGGAAAGGCTTTGCTTCAAACTGTTTAATAATTTAAAGAACCTCTGTGGAAGCAACTGCTTTTGTTAACTAGTCACAACCCGTAATTAACTCCTCTGGAGTTTTAAGTTACTTTGGGCAAAATGTCTTAGGAAGAGTACATATTATTAGAAAGCATGCCAAAAACTTACTTAGCAGAGAATTCAATAACAGTTTTACTCAGCTAAGAGGTTCCGTAAAATTCTACTGCTATAGCCAAGCACTGATACCCTAGCAGGTCCTGTTTCATTATCATAATTCCTGCATAAACACTTTTAAGGACTTTGCCTTCAGTTTCAAGCATGACTTATTTTCATAAGCCTGATTAGTTACCACACCAGCCTTGCTATGGAAAATGACATGTCCTCACTTTGAACCGGGGAGTTGTTAAATCTTGATCTACATTAGGCGTGTATTTATGTTGCCCTCTCTGCTGAAAGAGTGCAGCGAAAAGACATCTCTGATTCCTTGTTTTTGCCGTATCGGCTGTCAGCTCTATCTAATGGGCATTCCGTTTCCTTGAAGAATTTAGCTGCACTGTCTAGAAGCCGATTTTCTGATGCCTCCAACGTCTGGTCAAATTGATCTGTTTTAATGGAGTCTTCGTCGGTGAGGAGCGCGATGCCACCGACTAGAATGCTGGGATCTGCTGCTTAATTGCCAGGAGCTAGAGACACAGAGATTCAGAAATCTTTGGAGGTGGGCGGGGGGATGGGGGGGGAACCTCCGGGCGGAGGCGGAGATATAAGATAAAGAGATGGGTTTCACACAGGAAAAAAAAAAAAAAAATTTCTTTGAGGCACTGAGGTGCTGCACGATCACATCTCTCAAAGGAGAAGTTAAAAAGCAAGGAAGTGGGAGCAGTTTGGAGGTTAAAGTACTTAAAAAGATAGCTTGGGTATAGTTTGTGTTTCTGGTGGAGCCTGCAAAGGATAGATAGTCCCTGTTTTCAAAGGGTATTGGTTCCTCTGTTAAGTGATTGGGAATGGACGCTAATTGCCTGTGAGATGCTATCACGCAATGTTCTTCTAATTTCAAGGGACACAGGAGAGGGAGAAAGGCAAGATTTAAAAAGAAAAATAAGGAGGAGATGAGGGCTCTTGAAATAAAGGAAAGAAAGAAAAACAGAAAGAAGAAAGAGGAAGGAAGGGAGGGAGGGAGGGAGGAAGGGAGAGAGGGAGGGAGGGAGGGAGGGAAGGGAAGGAAGGAGAGGAGGAAGGGAGAGAGGGGGGATAGAGAAAGGAGGGTACGGGAAGAGAAGGAAAAAAAAATCCTGAATCACAGAACAATCACACAGCATAGAAGACACTGAATAATCACATAGAAAACTCATCCAAAACACTGTGCAACAACGACCCGGGTCACGAGAGAAAGATGCTCCTCTCCATCCGTGTCCCGGGAAGCATTGGGTCCCGTTCGTTACTAGAGACTAAAATACCATAAGGCTAAAGAGTGTTGTCTAACTGCGTGAAGAATGCAGCAGACGGAAGGCGGGTCCTATTACGCCGTTTGCCAGGCGCTGGCTGGGGCCAAAGAAGAAAAGGCGCAGAACAAGAGACTTGCCGAGTGAGACCTTCTTGCCTCGCCCACGTCTCTGGCGATCCGGCAGAGACCCGCGTAAAGCTCCCAGGGCCACAACCCGCGCCGCCAAAGAGAGCCGCTCTTCTCAGACGGCGCTTCTCGGCGGATGCGCCCGGCAACCCGCCGTGGCTGATGCAGAACACCCTTCCTGCCACTCTCTGACCACCTGTCCAGACCACATCTGACCTTCGAAACACATTTGCCCGCACCTCCCAGGCAGCCAGCCGCACAAATAGGCTCCCGGCTGGAGACGAATGTTTGGTGGGGAGAGGGCTTCAAACCTCCCACTCCTCGGTCTGATTCTGGGTTGTGAGGGGCCAGGGAGGGGAGGGGAGAGAGAGAGAGCGCGGAGAGAGAGCCTGGCTGGCTGGTTGAGCCCGCTCGTTGAGCAGCCTGAGGTTCGCAGGCTCCTGTGGGAACTGCTGCTTCTTCCAGGCCAGCCAGAGCTGTACTCACACCACCGCCTCTCACCCTCTCCTGCTTCCTGCTGCTCCCTAGAGAAACGTCCGTGGGCTCTCCGCGGCGATATTCCCAGCTGCATGCCGTTAGAGCCAGGCGGCGCGCTCCCGCACGCTAGAGCGCCGGGCGCCAGCAGGACGCCCTCTCCTCTGTGCCCTCTTTCCCCTCTCCTCCCTGCTGCGACCGCTCCTCAGCCACCTCCACCCTCACCAGCTCCAGCTCAGAGAGACGCCACCCAGCCGCGGCGGGCGCTCGCCGCCCGGGGTCACGCACGGAAGAGGGGCGCGAGATCTGACCCAGCGCTCGGTAGGGGGCGTCCTGCGGCGGAGAGTGAAAGGGCAGGTGGTATTTAAAGGTGTGGGAGTCGCCCGCTCTGAAGCCCGCGATTCTCACTTGAGCCATCCCCGCCTAGCCCCACTCGGGCCAGCGCCTGGTGAGCTAGCCCATCTGTGGCGTCGGCCGTCGTCTCCTCCTAGCACCTCCTCGCCGACCCCTCCCTCCGGGACCTGCATCCCGCTCCGCCAATCAACGCCCGACTGCCTCTTCCCACGTGATCCCGGGCGGGCTAAGGACCTGCTGCTTCCCAAACGCCAGAGGGATGCGGGCGGCAGAGCGCGAGAGGCGGCTGCTAGGCTGCTGGGCGCTTTGACTCTCCCTCCACCCAGCCCCCTTGGGCTCCTCTCCTCTTCCCTCTGGACTCCGGTCTCCTCCTGCTGCCCCGGCTTGCCAGAGCCCTCTGCTTATGGCAGCAGCTTACCTCGTCTCCGGTGCGGCTTTTCGGTGCACGACCCTCTCGCTCCCGGGGCTGAGCCGGGTCACTGGATGTTGCTGAAACTCTGGAGATCATGCGCGGGTTTGGCTGCTGCTTCCCCGTCAGGTGCCACTGCCGCCGCCGCCGCCTCTGCTGCCGCTGTCCGCGGGATGCTCAGTAGCCCGCTGCCTGACCCCCGCGATCCTGTGTTCTTCGGAAGCCGTTTGCTGCTGCAGAGTTGCGCGAACTAGTCATGGTGCTGTGGGAGTCCCCGCGGCAGTGCAGCAGCTGGACACTTTGCGAGGGCTTTTGCTGGCTGCTGCTGCTGCCTGTAATGCTACTTATCGTAGCCCGCCCAGTGAAGCTCGCAGCTTTCCCTACCTCCTTAAGTGACTGCCAAACGCCCACCGGCTGGAACTGCTCTGGTAAGTCCAGAACCCCAGCCCCCGACCCCTTAACCCCTCAGAGGAAACGCGCGTTTCCAGTACAGACCAACCTCCCCAAGTGCGTCTCCCCAAGCCCCTCGACTCCAACCGCTCCAAACCCTTGAGACCACCGACCTCCACCCAGAGGAGCACAGAGAACTGTTGCAGGCCGCTAAGGAAGGGGGCGGGGGTCCTGGGGAGGACAGAAAGTGCAGGTGTAGGAATCTTTGCATCCTTGCACTTAAACCGGAGCTGCGGAGATTTTAAGAAATATTAAACGGGATGGTTTTGTGGATTCACTGAAAAGAGCACCAATCCTTGGGCAAACATTAAAACAGAACCTTTTCTGTCACTAAAGAAAAAAGTCTAGCAAAAAAGAGAGAGAAATAAGTTTATGAGAAAGAACGAGCGAGAAAGCAATAAATCAAATGGTGACTGCAGGGGAAACACTGATTACTGGCAAAAGTGCCATGAGGGTGCACTTGTCTGGCATTCAAGACCAGGTCACAGAAATTCTAAAGGAGCTTGTGTTTCAAGAGATTCAGTTACCCTCTCTCTGCCTCTCTCTCTCTGTCTCTGTGTGTGTCTCTCTCTGTCTCTCTCCACACACACACACAAACATGCATACACATCCTCCTTCTCTAGCTGGCTGCAAAAGACGTTGTTTTTGCATCCCCGAATTGCCTCTCTCTTGCCTCCCTCCCCAAGCTCCTAGATGGTCGAAGGAAGTTGAGACAAGAACCATTCGCCCGTCTACCAGGCCGGACTGTGCATGACCAAGGCCGGGCAGGCTCACGCGTAGGCGGGCGGAGGGCAAAACTGACCCCACTGGGCGCTGACTCCTCCATTTTTGGGCAAGCTTCCTTGGAGTGCGTCAGGCGCTCTTCTTGCTTGCTCGGGTCCCTTCCGAGTCTGAACGCGAGAGCTTGGCAAGCTTTGCTGTGCTGAAGCCTCCTAATTAAATAGGGCCCGAGGATGGGAGTTGCTGCACTGTCCGAGTAGCTTCGCATTTCAGTATGACAGCCCATAGTCTACCGGCGGAATTGTGGTGTGATTTCACTGGCATTTTAAACTGCATTAACGTGCCTGGGTATTGTCCCCAAGGTCTGGTCTGTTCTAGTTTTAGCAAGTGTGTATGTAATTTTTCATCTTCTGTATATATAATTCCACGGAAGTTGAATCTAGCTCTGAATAAAGTGGCTTTCGGGGATGTGTGTGAGCTGAAGTGTATGTAACTTTGGAGAAGAGGGAATGACCAACTGTAACTTATAGGATAAAAGAATATGTCGTCCTGGGTAGTTACTGATGTAAATTCCACAAGGAAAATTATTATACATTATTGTAGTTTGCACTTTTTAAAGACAAGTTGAGATTTGCAACCTTGTTAGATTTGGGTCAATATATTGCCCTTTCTAAATTGCAATTTCTAAATTTGGCATTTTTATAAAACTCAGCATGTTTTCTTTAACTTATTCGTGGCTCATGCATGCATATATGTTATTTTGGATAGACTAAGTTCCACTTTGCAGGTACCTAATCACTTTTTTAGGTGCTTTATCATAGGAATATTAAGTAACCTGCAAAATCAATTGTTTGGAATGTTGATAGCTTTGTAGCCCAACATGACTAGTTTGTTTCATCCCTAACTATGGTACTGTTTTAGGAACTAACTAACTTAAATATGAAATTGGGGTTGACAATCAAGAAATTCATTATTACCAGATATCTTATAAGGATCTGCAGAAACTAAAGAAAATAAACTGGTTTTCCAGGCAGATTGTCAAGAACCTGGCACCCCTTTTTACCCCTGTTAACTTGGAGGTGATCAATCTTCATTTGAGCCAGACAGACCATCAGAGAAAACACTGTGCCTGTTTATCTTTATTATTGGGGCTTTGTTTCCTCTTTGTCTGGAAAAATTCCAAATAAGGGGTTGTTGCAGACCTTAAAGCAAAAGAATGATTAAAGATAAAGAAATGGTAAAAGGCATTCTGAGACCATCACCAGCTCTTTTCTAAACTGTGAAGTTTGGGGGTCATAAACTATAGTCTACTTAATGAGAAAATAATAAGGAAGCTAAGAAGCAAGTGTTAAATATTCATCCACCACTGCCAGTATTAACCCAAGCTAAAATAAAAGAGCATTATCAAAAAAGCATATTAAAAGACAACTGACTAGAAAAGAATAGTGAAAAAAAGAAACTAACATTAATCACTTAACTAGAATTTTTTTAGTTTGTCAGTAAAAATGACCTTGCAGTACAGCTGTGGTTGTTGGAATTAAAATTTAGGGCAGTTCTTTTAAAGCTTCAAGATATTTCTTTTTTTGTTCAAGTCTATAACATTTAATGACTGGCGTGTTCTCTTTAAATTTGAGGTTATGATGACAGAGAAAATGATCTCTTCCTCTGTGACACCAACACCTGTAAATTTGATGGGGAATGTTTAAGAATTGGAGACACTGTGACATGCGTCTGTCAGTTCAAGGTAAGAAGTCTGGTATTTGCATCTTCTAATTCATTAATGAGACGACAAAGCAGAGATCTTTTACAGCCCATCACTTGGCAATTTATAGCTATGCAAGCTAAGAGGAAAGCTGGCACCAAACAAAAGTACTGGCAAGAGAGCCAACTGATGTCAAAAAGGCACAGCTTTTTGGAGAAATGTATGTGCCACAGTTATAAATGCCACTGGAGGTAGAAAGCTTCAGGTTGTTCTTTTGGTGTGTCAAAGGAAAATTATGTTTCTGTGCCCCTTCTAACATGCATGCTATAAGTCAACTACTGGGGATAATAGTCAAAATCATTGCTGGATTAGAAGTGTGGATTTATACTTTTGGTTTTTTTTGATTGGGGCTATCTTCTTTCGGTCATATTTCTCTGTTTTAATGGTCTTGGGTTTTATTATCCTGGCAATCTGGTTAAGTTTTTAAATGAACTCCTTATCAATGTGACTTTAAAACTACTATGCTAGTTTGGAAATCACAGCACTTATTAATATTTGTCAACTTTTCATGGATACCACATTCAGTTACAACTGAATCTCCCAGGAATCCAAAAGAGTGCAAATAGACAAAAGTTATTTCATAAACATGAGGAAGATGTTCTTTTGTCTCATGTTAAAAAAAATAAATAAAAATTAAAAGAGAGAGCGATTGCAGTTGTGGTATTATCAAAACTAGGTTATTAGTATTTATTAAAGATAGAACTCAGTGTCATTATTATAGTCATCATCTAACAAATGCTTTCTACCATGTGAAGTATAAGCCTTTTTTTCTCTCAATATGCTTTTATAATTCAAGTATCAGAGATGCTGTACTGATATCTTACGTTCACCTTCGAGTGTTGTTGAATTACTTTTTAAAATACACATCAAATCTAACAAACGGTTCAACTAGAAAATATTCCCATTAATGAAAGTATATACGGGGGATAAGGGAAAATTTTTCCAAGATTGTAAGCAAAACTTTAAAAAAAAAATTAAAAAGGCTATAAAACAAATAAAATATTAGAACTTAAATTCTGGTCTAAAATTTGTTATAGTACAATTGTCTCTCAGTATCCATGGGGATTGGTTTCAGGACCACCACAAATACCAAAATCCAAGGATGCTCAAGTCTCTTATATAAAATTATGTAGAATTTATATATAACATATGCATATCCTCCTGTATACTTTGTCATCTCTAGATTACTTATAATACAATGTATATGCAATGTAAACATTGTAAATACAATGTAAATGCTATGTAAGTGGAAAATTCAAGTTTTGCTTTTTGGAATTCTCTGGAATTTTTTTTTCTCGAATATTTTCTATCTGAAGTTGTTTGAATCTGCGGATTTGGAACCCCCAAATTTGGAGGACCAACTGTATGTAATATTTAGAATTGCTGATGAAATTTAAATATTTTAGGTTAAGTTCAACCTCCCAGTGAGAAAAAGAAGGGAATTCACATTTAAATATGGTTTTGAATGGTTTATAGTTAAGCTAGAAACTTCTTGGACATTTTTTTCTTCCTAAGAAAAGTAATAAACATCTGATATTTGTAAAGTGCACCACCACCTGGTGGGTAAGTATTGCTGTGCCCAGGTTACAGTCATTAGACCATACGATAGTGTTGGAAATATTAATGCATATTTAATATTCATGCAACACCAATTTCTAAGGTCTCTAGCCATACTGAACAATGTAATTATGTTCTTTCAGTGAACTACTTGAGAGAGATGGAGCATAAGAACTCTGCAAGTCATACTTCATACAAACATTAACTAAGGGGAAAATATAGTTGGATAAATCAGTAGTTAAAGGCCCACAGGATTTTGTGGATTTTTCCCTTTTAAGTTTGTAATTCCCAGAAATTTTTCTTATTTTTGTAACCATGGGTAGACATAAGAAGTGAACTCATATACAGTATAAAATGAACCAAGAAGAATGTTCCTCAAATGGAAAGCCATAATTAAAACAAGATTCACCAAGAGAAAAAAAAAAAAGAGGAGTTCACAAAATTCTAAATGGATGCATGCTACTAAAAGAAAATTTATAATTTTCTTATTAAAGAAATTGTGTTCAGTTTTCAGGTTGCACAGAGGGTTTTGGTATAACTTTTATCAGCAAAGATATTTATGTTTTTTACGCATTCGGTCAGCCAGTTACATTTGTCATTAATTTAAATAATCGTTGAGTGGTATAGATTGCAGGGGGTAGGGGGAGTGAATGCAAGTTTGAATAAGAAACTAAAATGTAAATTTCCTTTTCCTAATGCCTGTTGCATTTTAAATTTACTACTAGATTACTGCTGCTATTAGTTTGTGTGTTGCAAAGTTGTCAGGAGAAAATAAACATTTCCCTAGTGGAAAATTTAGACTCTGTACATACCAGGAATAGAGAGTGGCAGAATTAAGTTCAAGATCACAAATTGTGAAAGAATAATAGGTATTTTAAGCTAAGAGTATCTTGACTCAGTACTTTCCAATACTTTCAAATGTATTTGAGAAATTTTTGTTTCCCAGTCTGATGAAAAGGCAGATGTCCTGAAAAATCTATTTTTCTATATACTGTTCTAAACTAGCTTAGGTCATCTACTCTGTTTCTCCTGCTTTCAGAAACAGGTCCAGATTCTTCTATTCAAAATGGGTGCCAAATGTGGTCTTTCTGGCTGAGAGATAAATTTCAAAGAGAAGTGGGTATATGAGTGTATAATCTATGTTTTGCAGTTTGGATTAAAATTGGAGCACTAAGGTGAACAAATATTTATCTTCACTTCTCTTAGATGATTTATGATAAGCATATTCTACCCTTCAAACATGTTATCTCATTTGTTTCTCACAATTGAGTGAGGTAATTATTTTCTCCTCCTTTTACAGATAAGGAAATTAAGACCCATAAATATAAATAACTTACCGTTAAGTGGTGATCCTAAAGCCAGAACCTAGGTCCTTTGACACCAATCTAATTTTTTCTAGGACATTATACATGCAAATAAAAACACTATAACAACAACAAAAGTACCAGTTTATTGTAGACAACTCGATATCAAAAGTAGTACAACTAATTCTTGGATGATGATATAAGTTCCAGAAATGGCCTGCAACCTCATGCATCCTACCTTCCTCTCTATATACCAAATGATATCCTGGTCATTCTGGTAAATCAGCTGTGGTTTGAAAATTTAGAGACAGTGGATGGATGAATGGATGGATGGATGGATGGATGAATAAAAGAAGGAAGGGGGACGAAAAGAAGACACATATGCAGCTATTAATAGCACTGGTCATATCAATTAGTATGTAATGATCAATGATCACTTTATAATTTAAAAATATGATGAAGCCTTATGTTTTTTAGGTATCATTTAATTCAAATGTGAAATGTTTTCATTTAATAAGCCACACTTTAGATCTGCAATTGTTCCAGTAACTAGGACTGTATAACAAATTGCCCAGAACTTAGTGGCTCAAAACAATGAACATTTATTTTGCTCATGAATCTGCAATTGGACAGGGCTTAATGGAAGCAGCTCATCTCTGCTCCCCTTGGTGTTAGCTGAGCCGGGGAGGGAACTCAAAGACTTGTTTCTGTACTCTTCTCAGGACTCTCACTCATATACTGGACTGTCAGCTGGGGACCTTGGTCCTTCTCCATGTGGATCTCTCCATTTGGACTAGTTGGGGCTTCCTCATAGCACAGTGGCTGGGTTTCAATGGCAAGCATCCAGAGAGTGAGAAAGAGCCAGGTAGAGGCTGTATCCTTTAACGACCTAGCCTCAGAAGTCACACAGAGTCACTTTCACCATAGTCAAAGGCCTGCCCACTCACTTAAAATCAAAAAAAAATTTCCATATGAAAAATTGTAGTCACAGAGAAGTAAAAGTTACCTATGGAATGATCAAAGCGTTGGGACATATGTGGGTTTTTTATCGCTTTCTTTTTTGGAAGAGAAACATGCCATATCCTAAGCCATTATTCCTAAGCCTTTGACAACCGGGAATATAACAGAATTCACTTAACATCTGTGGAGCGCCTTCTATATGCCAGACTCTATGGAAGGTGCTGACAATATATAAAATGTAAGTTATACATAGCTTCTAGTTGCTGAAATCTCAGTTAAAAGAAATTCTTATTAACCAAACAAGCAATACATCGTATGAAAAATTTCTCACATAAATTTTTTGTTCATTTGTAGCAAAACAAATTCCATATATTCATTGAATCCACGGGTGTGACGTGTTGCTGCTTTCTTAAGCAATGTGGACATTTTGGAACAAAATCATTCACTGAAAAAACACATATTTGGAAAATAAACTTAAGATATTTAAAACATCTGAAGGAAGCAGAATCACTTTTCCCCTGAGAGGAAGTTTGGACAACACATACATTTATGAGCTTAACCATCTGGCCCTGAGTCTTGTTTTTTCTTTACCAGCCAACTATGTGGCCTTTAGCAAGTCACCTAACATCTGAATCTGTCCCTTCCTCTGAAACTGAGCAGTATTCATAATTACCACTGAAAATTATTTCCAATAATTTGGCATATTTTAATGTAGTAGTTAGCTTATTTTTTTGTACTTAGGGTTAGCCTGTGTTCCTTTATTTTTCTAATTTTAGACATGCATGCTTCAGTGTCGATGTTAGCTGGTAACTCTGCTAGTTAAAATATATATCATGAAAGGCACATAATTTACATTTCTTTTTATAAAAGAGTATTCCAAAGCATTTTGAAACATGACTCTTAATCCTCCCAAATGCCCCAGTTAACCATTTCGAATGGGGGAACTAAGCTATAAGCTTGTTAAATATTTCATTTTTGAGTGATATACACAAGGTCCTACACTAAGGCAGTGAGAGAAATGGGAGAACCTGGGACCAGACTTCCACTCCTGAGCCTTAATGATTTAGAGTGTGCTTCCTCCATGTGTTATTCATTTTAATGAGTGCAAGTCATGGTAGTAAGGGCCAAAAACATCGTGCTGATTATCTACAGTTAAGCTCTTTTCAACTCCATACAAATCTTCCTTTTGGCTTGTGCATAGAACTTGGCAGCTCTGTTTTTAGCACTGTTCACATTTGGCTTACTACATCCTTCAGAAGTGGCATATGAGCGCTTTATCAGTTTATTCGATATTTTAAGATGCATATCAGCATTGTGTACTAGCACTTGACAGAGATAATAAATACTTCCCACCCCTCACTCCTCATCTTCTGACTACATCTGAATAATCTACAGAAGTAGATGAGAAGGATAAATAGAGAAATTCTAGGTATTAGAGAGAAGAAAACATGGGCCCAAGTAATCTACACGCAAAGTATTGTAACCAGGGCTGGAGATGGAGATTAAAAGGTAACCTGGGACAAGAAGCTAGGAACCAAGCATGAGAAGCTAACTAGCCCAGCCGTTCACACTAATTATGACTCTCATCTGCCTACTGAAAAGGTCAGCAAGTCTACCGACTATAATATGTTACCAGCTGGTCACTTCTTTCTTGTCCCTCTTCCATGTCCTCAGATACCATTGTAGTGGTAGTGGGTCCTCATAAATCCTCCCTACATTCTCCTGTCCCTGATACTGAACACAGCCCATTTATCAAGCACCTGTCCATCCACCTGCCTCCCTGGCCATGGTTCTGGCATGAGCACCACCTCTATTTATTTGGTGTCTCTTCAGTATTGCTTATTGGAAAACTCAACTATTTACTGACATTTTCTTATTGCCTTTTATTTTTCAGTAGTGATAAAGATGTTCAGTTTTATGGTAGGTCAGTTTTTAGGTATATGTATATATTTGGAAAGCTTGTGAAAGACAGCCCTTACACAGGTATCACCTGGTCAGAAGTGAATTGCCTACTGAATTAAAGATCCTCATGAGTGAAAAGTTCCTATCAAAATAGTGTTTTTAAAATATAATAATGTAGATAGACTGAGTCTGGCAGCCGTATAGTGTAACTGTGGAAAGGAATTATTATACAGAACCTTCCAGAATGTCTAGATTATAAACTGTAGAAATATTTTAAAAATATGGCATATTTAAAATATTTCAATCATTTTAATCATATTTAAATAATTTCTAAATAGGTATGATTTAGTATCTAAATTATCTTGTTAGCAATTATGGTGATTATGAGTGTCGTACAATTTGAATTTACTATTAGGAGAATAGTACATAACTATTAGTTAAAAATTATATTTAAGTTTTTCAATAATAGCTGTAGAGTCAGATTCAAAAAACTGTCATTTCAGAGAACACTGTCTTATACCATTTAAAAAATGGTTAGGATGGTTAAGCTATTACAAAAAGGCAACGAACAAGAGCTAACCGGTTGATTGATAAGGAAGTACAGATATCGTAAGAAAATAGAGTAAGAAAATGAATCTCAGGTTTTTATCATCAGATTATAACCATATTGAGAATTTGCTTTTTTGCATAAATCCTTGAGTTGAATTTAACTTTTGATAGAGTTTTAGGTTTATTATCATATATATTAAAACCCTAGCCATCTCACTAAATTATTGGTTTATTTTATATGTGTTATGAATTAGCACATCAAAAATCCAAATATTTTAATAAGAAGTAGAAAACAGAAAAGTGTTTTCACATACATGTATATGTATGATTTGTTTTACTTAGTTTCTGGCATGGGTGAGTATTTATAAATAATTGTCTTGATCATTACATCTGTTATAATTAAACAATGTAGCACATCAGTAGATGATCACATCAGTGGCGTAATTAGCAGGTATAGGACACAGCCAAGTATCTCTAATGCCTTAGAGTGTGATCACATTATCATGAGTATACCCTGTAGGTTGCCTAATTTCCATTGTAAAATGTGTACATTTTTGTAATGAGGTTGTTTAAAAATGAACTTTTTGTTTTATGAAATATAGGTTAAGTCATATTTTTGAAGAGTCAATCAAGTTTACATATGGTTCAGTAGTTGTTGATTTTTTTTTCTGTATCCCATGGTCTGTTGTTTCTTTCTACACTGTATCTACATCAATATCCAATGGTCTAAAAATATATGAAAAATTAATAATTCAAATGTCTTATCCAAATATTTAGAAATTTGTAAAGATTCAAATTCAACAGAGGAAAAACATACTAAGGAGTAACTGAATTCTTTGGCATTTCAGCTATATACTTCTGCTCCAAACACAGATAGACACTATTTTTGAATAGCTTGAATACTATAACATGTTCTGATTTTTTTCCACCAAACCATATGGGCCACATATTAGAAAAAAAATTAAATAATATTGATGCATTTGTTGTTATATCTTTTTATTATTGCTTGTGCTATCACTTTGTTGGAATTGCCCGATCAGTTTAGAAGCTCTTTTTCCCCCTATCTGAATCAGATGACTTGACATTGCTTTTGTGTATCTTTGAATGGTGTCCGTACAAGGTCAAAGACTTGCTGGATACAAGGGGGATCACTGAAAATGAAGACAAGTACTTTCTTTTGTAAATGATGATTTCTGTTCAAGATGTCAGAGGCATGCAGACTCCAGTACTAACCATAGGCTTACATCTGTGTGCTCCCCAGTGCAACAGTGACTATGTGCCTGTGTGTGGCTCCAATGGGGAGAGCTACCAGAATGAGTGTTACCTGCGGCAGGCTGCGTGCAAACAGCAGAGTGAGATACTGGTGGTGTCTGAAGGATCATGTGCCACAGGTATGTATGTGATCCTGAAGACTCCCGAAAACCTTCGGAATGGATTCTGAATCCAAAAACCATGTCTTGCTTTTCACGTTATGGCCTGTTTATCGTTATCCAAATAAACAATCCAGACTATATATTATTAGCTAGACAAGCCTCTTATTCTTTCATACAAAGTATGCATTATTCTTATTCTATGTCTTTTTACATTTCAAGTCACTTCTGGAAGAAAGATAAATGTACCATAAGAACATTGGTAGATTTTAATATGTATGTTATTTAATGAAGTACAGACAGCTGAATAACATAATTAGAAATCTAGATTGACTGCTTAGCTTCCAAACATAAGAAACTTATCTATGCATGAATAAAGTTTGTTTGTTTGTTTGATTGATTGTTTGTTTGTAACAATAGGATCGTCTGGTGGAAGGCAGTTTGCAGATTTGGGTTTGGAAGTTAAGATGTGTCTAACCTTAGCAGCCCTACAAAATACTCCTCTTAACAGTGAGCTGATTATATTGAAGAATGTGTTGGTGATAGACATGACTTCTAATGACATCTGTCCTTTCTGACACAGTCAGCCTGGGCTCCCACAAAGCTTTTTAGTTATATTGTACCAAGAATGCTCTAAAGAAAGTAAGGAAGAAGAGTGACTTCATAGGCTCTTTGGTTTTTCAGGTTTTCCTTTTGAGTACAATGGTTATTAGAGCTGAATAGCATTACAGGAAGGAAAAAAAAAAGAGGAATACAGCTCAACTTTTTAAAGCCATGCTGTAAAATGAAGCTGAGTTTTCAGGTTAGGCTTGAAACACTAAAATCACATATATTAAAGAAACTTTAGTGTCCCTTGATAGCTGTTCTTAATGGCAAATAAACATCTTCCTGGAAAGTCATAATTTCTGAGGAATTAGATGGTATAAGCATATTCAAGAAAAATAATATTGATATAAGGACTTTCTTCAAAAATGGAAATATAGAATAGTATCAAGAAAGATCTATTTTATTGAAAGTCTCTCTCAGATAACAGGTATTTCTATTCTAGGGAATTATATTTAAAATTATGTGTATGATGGCTGGGGCAGAGGGGTAAATGAGCAAGAGAAAGTCTCATATTCTTTAAAACAGGGGTCCCCAGCCCCTGGGCCACAGACCAGGGGGAGCCAGCGAAGCTTCATCTGCCGCTCCCCGTTGCTCGCCATCGCTCGCATTACCGCCTGAACATCCCCCCCACCCCCATCCGTGGAAAAATTGTCTTCCACAAAACCAGTTCCTGGTGCCGAAAAGGTTGGAGACTTCTGCTTTAAAAGATTATCTTAGGCCTATTGATTGTTAGCAGTTGACAATGTTCCAGGTTGTACTGGTGACTACCGAAGTTTCTAAGAATTAGCAGAAGAGAAAGGTATCATTCCTCATGAACAATGATGTACGCTTTTTCGTTTTGGTTTTGGTTTTTAAGTAGTCTTTTCTCCTATTTGATTCTTTGCCTCACAATGTGGATGTCCTTCCTGCAAAGGTGACTGGGAGGCAAGTTGGACTGGTGCATCACTTGCTTATTTGCTAGAGCTAACAGATCCTTGCCATTCAATCTATGAGTGAGGAGTAATGCATGAAGTAAGAGCAACATGTGAGGGTTATTAGACCAGGAGTGATGTAGGCAAATACTAGAGAGTACTGAGGAATGGATTTGCTTATTCAAGATCACGTAGGATATCTGTGTGTCTCTGACAATAGCCAATGAGGATCAGTGGGCAGTAGTCACAATAAGCAGTCATGAAGTTATAGGTTGGCTAACAATGGTAGCAAAATCTCTCTTTCTTACTTTCCAGCCTCCAAGTTCTTGTCAGCACATGCAGTCACATTCTTCTGATTCATTCAGTCTTTCCATTCTAGTCCCTAATGTGTTGGTTGTACTATGAAAATAAACACTTGACTAAGTAGAAAATTTAATCACAACTGAGTAATCCATCCCTAGCTTATTCACAGACTTATATTTTGCAGGATTTAATTAGTAAGTTGGTCTTGCTGAATGCATCTTCCATTGACTTGTAAATCTAAAAGTTTTGATCTGAATAATGATGGCGGGACCAAAGTAATTTTGATTAACCAGGTCTGACTGTAAATAAATTGGAGTTCTGACTTTTGTTCTAAAAGAGATTCTTATTCTTTTCTTCATAGATTTTCCTTTTTTTTTTTTTTTTTGCGGTACGTGGGCCTCTCACTGTTGTGGCCTCTCCCATTGAGGAGCACAGGCTCCAGCCACGCAGGCTCAGCGGCCATGGCTCACGGGCCCAGCCACTCTGTGGCATGTGGGATCTTCCCAGACCAGGGCACGAACCCGTGTCCCCTGCACCGGCAGGCAGACTCTCAACCACTGAGCCACCAGGGAAGCCCTCCTTTTTTTTTTTTTTTTTAATGCTATTTGACACTGAATGGAGGTGACAAGTTGTGATCTCTAGGAATAAAAGGCAGTAGAAGATAAAACTTTATATTTATTACATTTCATTGAACTTACAAATCATTTTTTGTCTGGAAAATGGCTTCCTATTGGGCAGTCTGCTCAATAGCCTCACTGTCAATTTCACTTTTTTGCCTTATAAGAAATGTATTGACTAGGAGCCCAGATTCAGGTGCAACAGCATGACTTCTTTTCTTAGGTGTTTCTGTCTCACTAATAAGGCTTTAGTAGGCTACTTGTCTCTGGTTTGCAAAGATGATTCATTTTATAGTGAAGAAACCATTAAAACTTCCCATCACTATATTATTTTATTTATTTATTATTTTTTTTGTGGTACACGGGCTTCTCACTGTTGTAGCCTCTCCCATTGCGGAGCACAGGCTCCGGATGCGCAGGCTCAGCGACCATGGCTCACGGGCCCAGCCGCTCCATGGCATGTGGGATCTTCCTGGACCGGGGTATGAACCCGTGTCCCCTGCATCGGCAGGCGGACTCTCAACCACTGCGCCACCAGGGAAGCCCCCCATCACTATTTTATAATGATGCCATGGACTTAAGTGACCATTTTTTTTCAGCCTATTCCTCCTTTCTTCACTAGCTACTTAATTTGGGTCAAATCAAACACAAATTGTCTTAAGGATCATGGTCCTTGAATTTTTAGAAACATACATGGGGAATACAAGCCAAAATACTACTGCCATTTTTCTTGATTTTCTCCAGCCATTTGTACTTAGCAGAAAACGTATAGATGAATAGGCAAGATGTTCACTCAAAATTTTAACTATTATGTTCTAGACATAGTGATAAGCATTTAAAATGTGCTGTTGTGCAGTTATCCTCAAAATAGTCCAATGAGATAGACATTACTATACCCATTGACTAGAGGACCAATAAGCTTAAGAAGGTTGAATAATGTTCCTTATGTTATCCAATGAGTATGTTTGGAGCTTGGAATACATAAGCCTTTATGCATTTTCTCTTATGTGTGTGGAAGTATAGAGAGCTAAACAAGACATGGTTCTTGATTTAAAGACATTTACTCTTAGTGGGAAAGGAATAAGAAACTATACACAGTCAACTAAAACACAGGTAGAATGTATTAATGCTGTAATAGTACAACCTGTTATTAGCCTCTGATGATCTGATAAGTAATACTGAATTAAGCTTTCAAATTAATTCAAATAAAGTCAGTTAAAATTCTAGCTGTAAAAAGATACAAAAAGGAGACTTGACAAATATTGACCATTCAAGCACTGTCCTGTCCAAAGTGATTGTGCTGTGACTTAGGACTCAGTTCAGTTGACAGGACTATTTTCCTATTATAGAGATGAATGTATCAGCCTTTCTTTATCTGTTACCTTAAAACAATCAAATCATATTATTAGAATCCTTATTTGAGTCTACATTTACTAAGAAGGGTTTTTATTATAAATTGTTTTACCAATTAGCTTGCCTTTAAAGAAAGGATAGCCTGGCCCAGTGACTTGCTTCTTAGTCATGTAAGCAGTTAATGACTTGATGTTCTGATTTAATAAAGGGTTAAACCTTGTGAATTAAGTTAGTCTGGGTCTCCACCAAGGCTGACAATTCAAACTGCTGCTCCTTCATGACAGTGCTAATGTCTAACATAATGACAAAGAAAACTACTGGGGAGGCATCCATTCTTCCCTGTGTCAGCCTTCTGTAGATTTTCATACATCATGCCTCTTTCTATGAGTGCCTCTCAACAAAGTGTCATGGAGGCAAACAAGTAAAAGTAGTAGTTTATTTTAATTGGTCTACAACAGCAAACACTAATTCGTAGAAATGACATTTGATATAGGTCTTGAACGCTGGTTGAGATTTCAATGTAAACTGAGGACATATCAGACAAAGAATACTAGTATTAGTCTTATTTCCCAGTATTAACATTAAAAATACATAGCCAAATGTATTTAGAATGGAAGGAAGTGGGGAGACAAAAGGAAGATGATGTCTCCACTTAACAGGTGGAAGCAAATGGAAACTCCATGGTCTTGACTCTAAACTAGGAAATTGAGTGTTTCTGGGAAATGAGTTCTCAGAAATTGACAATTTTCAGGAGTTGTAATTGTGTGGGAGGGAGGGGAGAGACACGGACAAAGAGAAAGACAGAGGGAGGTTATTGTCTTTTCTGCCAGCATCACCTAGGGTATAGCCACTTTTAATCACAAAGGCAAAAGTTAAGCTCACTCTTCCACTGATTTCAAAACTGAAAGATGCTTTTGGGTGCATATAGACTCATCCACAATTGTGGAATTTGGAAAACATATTATCTCTATATAAAAAGATGTTCATTTTAAACTGTTTTTCCCTTTGTAATGCAATGTACAAGAATATAAGCCTTAATTATGTGTTTATTTGCCACAAGTCTTAGACTGTTTAATTCTAAGTCTCACTGATTGCTATAAGTATCTCATTTTTAATTTTTTGTGTTAAAGGCACCAAATTCATCTTGATTAAAATAAAAATGAGAAGTTTTAACATAGTCAAGTTTAGGAATTATTCCAAAGCTAGATAATACTTTGTTCATGAAGTTTAAGAATGAAAATAATAAGGAATTTATTTTATAAGTTACAGTATAGAAATTAGATTGATGTGAATATGTTTTTCAAATTAAATATTAGTAATTTTTAAAATTATAGTACCATATTAATGGAGAAAATAAACATGAATTTTTTTAAATAAAGTCATACACATTTTTTGAAGATGTTTTTCGAGCAAAAACAAATTATTTCCTTTTTTCCCCGCAGATGCAGGATCAGGATCTGGAGATGGAGGTAGGATTTGCCTTTTTATATATTTGAAGATTTACATGTGGATATTATTCATGGATATTTACTTATGTGTTTGCCATAACAAATATCTGAGATGAATTCACATTTTGCATTCTAGGAAAGGGAAGACAAAAAAAATCATTCTCCATACTAAGTAAATGTATATACCATGTAAATTATTTGATATATTTATGAATATATCACATTCATTTATGTGTTTGTGTTTGAGTTAACTTTGAGATAAATTTGCATGTCAAACTTCCTAACAGAAGCCTCCAAGCATATTTGGCAGGACAGAAAACTCATGAGAAAATAATTTAAATATTGGGTTTTTAAAATATATAATTACAAGGTGCTGATATTAACACATACATAACTATCATGTATATAAGAACATAATTATCAAATTAATAGTTTGAAACTGAAGGAGCTTTAGTTCATAAAAGTAAAAAAGATAAACTTTAAGCCAGTGAAAATAAGATAGTGTCTTTACTTCTCTGATTAAATTAATCTATAGTTATTTTTACTAAAACAAGACATATGTTTTAATGATTTAGTTGTGCATTTAAAGAAGTATGTAAGATAAGAGACAGGCAGAAACTTTTAAAATTTGATCTGACATGCTTACTGTCAAATAAGATTTTATTTATGGATTGAACCTTCATTGTAAATTTCCCAAACTGCTTTTCCAAATGAAATCCAAACAAGATTCTACCTTTATACACAACAAGAAAAAATAGAAACAACTAAATATAATTTCAACAATAATAATGAAAATAGAATGAGTAAAACATAAACATTCTCTCAAGGCCTTGTATAAAATGATTAAATGTATGTTTCAAGTAAATTTTAGTTTTTAAATGAAGAATTTGATAAAAGATGAGGAAAAGAAGACCTTGGAGTCAGGAAAGTCAGATCTCTACTGCTCACTTTATCTGGTTTGGGCAACACTTTAAAAATTTATTAAGTCACCCTATATAATGAATGAAAGGCTTAACTAGTTCAAATAAGCAACACCCAGAGAATAAAATTAGAGCAGCATATTGGAGCACAATTTTTTTTCATAAAGATTAAAACTGAATAGGAGTCAAGATTCAGTACCATGAGAGTATGAATTTATTTCCATGTTATTAGGCATATGACATTAGGCTGTCATTTAATGTTAAGACAGTCTTTTACTATTTCTAATAATTTTTTTTCACTAGCTGATTAATATAGTATTCCTAAAAAAACTTCCCTAGAAGTTTTGAAAAGAAGAGCTCTAGGCAAATTAAATTTTAAAGAGAAAAAGAAAGGAAAAAAGATAGTTCCTTGAGTAGATATTTCACTATTGGAATATTAAGAAATTAATCAATTTTTTTAAATGTTGATTTTAGAAGGAAGCAGTTCTATGCAAAATTCTATATATTTCCCAGCTGTTTAGTTTTATGTATAGACTACTTAATTTGGCAGGTACTGTGTTGTTTCAACTGTTCCACTGTTCACACAGTGTCTCGTTAATTTTTTAGCATCTTTAAAAACAAAACAGAGTGTCTTCGTTGCTCCTTTTGTTAAAGCATCATGGTATACGTTTTTCTGAGTCTTCTCCTCATATCATACATCATTTCTTAATTTTCTTAATAATAAGGTGTAGTGGATTTTCAGACCCTAGTTTCCAGTTTTTTGTTCACTGTAATTAGCACAGGCAATTGACAGTGAAAACCTCACTCTTCCTTGTTGCATTTTATATTGAAATCTTAGGTTCATTATTTTATCTTGTGATCTGAATAAGGTGATTTTTTAGGAAATCATTTTAATTTCATGAATATGACATTTATAACTTAAATTTCATATATTAGTTAGAAACTACTTGCATTTATTTTTTTCTCCTTTTTTATTTTTACTCTTCCTTTCAATTATAGCTTTTTATAGTAACTTGGAGAAAAACAAAAAAAACAAAGCAACTTCTTAAGAGATAATTGCTTTGAGAAGAAAAAAAAGCATATAACCCTTGCTCTGAGAAGAAAAAAAGCATATAACCCATTTAATTCTGAGTTGTATTCTTTTTAAAGAGTTGTTGTTCTGGAAGTTGCGGCAAACGAGTATTTACTCCTAACTGCATAATCCTTTTTCATTTTTAATCAGAGACACAACAGTGTTTTTGTTTTGTTTTTACTGAATTAATTTTTTCTAGTCTATGTGTTACTTTGCTCTGAAATACTAATGGTTTTAATTTTCTGTAATTTTTTTACTCTAATACAAAATGACAAAAACCTTAATAACTAGAACCCCAAAACATAGAGTGACCTGCACAATTCCATTTCACATATCCTTCGGATTGTACATCAAGTGCGTTTGACTTGCTACCTCTGCTATACAGAGGATGGACTTGCTCTGTATTCTGACCGAGTTCCTATTACCAAAATATCAGAGGAGCCAGAATCAGTTTCCTTTGAATTAACCAGAAGTGATTGAATTACCTGTGATTGTTTGGTTAATCCAACAATTCTAGCTAGTGATCGTTCTAACTGGTCTCTGTAGGATATATTCTCAATAACGTGTATTTGGTTAATAATTGGGGCATCTTTGCAAGCACTTTGGATGGTTAATGGTTATTTTTCTAATTTCTTTTAACAAAAGTTAATATAATTCCCAAATGGAGTGCACTGATCTGAATAATGAAGTGAACAATTTTATTTGGAAAACACTTATATGTATGACTATCATAAATGATATCATTAAACCTCCAAATCCAAAATCACTTTAAAAACGTCAATTTTTACTTTTTAGATTGTCCTATATTCTTAAACAAATAAACATTACATTAGCATTGAAGATTAGACCTGATTATTTTAAAAATAATTTAAATTTAGCTTATTTGCACAAGGGCATATCTGTCATTTACTGCACTTGAGGGAACATTTTTACTACAATATAAAAGGGATCTAAATGTTTCATAAAATTTACGTTAACTTGTTTGTATACATTTTATAGAGGGTTTAAAAATCTTTAACCATCGATTTGTTTATTCAGATGAAACAATTCAAAGGGCTTATTACTTTACTTAGTAAAACATGTTTACCGTGTCTTCAACATGGTCTGCAAAATGTGCATTCATTCATCAAGGTAATTTGTAGAGTAATAAGAAACAAATACTGCATACAAATCTTAAAGGTTGGCTTTTCCCATTTCAGTGACTGTATCCTCTTCTTTTAGTGTTTAAGAAAACTCATTAATACAAAGAATACTTTTGCATTATTAGTTTTGAACATAAGACCAGCTATTTATGGAATTCTTTGTTTTTAAACAAAAATATTTAGTTGGAAAGGCATCTACATCAAAGAATCTTTTGGATAGCCTCATACTCTAAAAATCAATTCAGGATAAATTATAACTAATTATATATGCGTCCGATAGGAAGGTAATATGTGGTCATATGTGGACCAAATTCCAAAGAATTTCAGAAAGTAGTAGAAAGAAAGGGGTTGGTGTTTCAAGGACTTATATGTGTGGAGATTGAATGCTGTAAATAAGAAAACAGGTGTGTGTTAATAACATCTTCTCCACCCACAGACTTCCTTAAGCAACAAACACTGCAGTAAGAAAGAAGTATTAAAGGAGCCTCCTTTCAAAATCTAAGGGTGTGTGGGTGATCAAGGGATAGTTTTTAACACCTGCTTTTCTTTCATAGTCTTTCAGTCATTTTATAAAGATAAGACCATTAATATTTTCCGTTACTCTTAACAATTATTTCTGGAATAACTAGACTTTTGATAGACCCCTAAAAACAAAAAATAAGTCCAGTAAAATAACAACTATATTTTAACTATTAAAATAATTATAAATATATTATCCTGCTAGAAGTCTGGAAGAATTCACGATTAAATTTTAGTAACATCTTATGGGGAGTTGTATGATAATGTCTGTATAAATAAAATGTCTCTAAGAGATACAGCATAGATACAGTGGGTATATTTTTAATTCATGAGGTAAAATGAAGCACTGGGCCTACTTATACAACTTATACAATTATATAGTTTTAAGAGAATTCTTTAATAATTAATCTCTTAACTAAGAGATTAATGTCAGATATGTACAGCAACAAATCAAATTAAATTTACATTCATTATTTGTATAAAGTCTGATTTTTATTTTAATAATCCAGATAATTGTTATTATGATGACTTTAACGCACAGAATCGGTTATAGTATGTTTCTATTTAATGCAAAATTGTCCTGTGCAAATTATCTTTGTATAATATTACTTGGATGTACACAATTAAGACATTTATTTCATATATACTTTGGATAGAACAAGAAATATTTACATTGCAACAAACTGTCAACCCTAGGCTGTTTCTGATAGGTAGATTGCTAAAAACTAGAAAACAGTATTGTAACAAGTTTGAGAACTTAAATTATTTTTTAAAAATTCTTTCTAATTTTCTAATGTGCATTGTTTCTAATGTGGATTTGATGCTATTCAGAAATTAAGTCAAATTGAACAAGCCTCCTATAACCTGAGGACCATGGTAAGGTTTCTGGAGCTGTAAAGCTGAATATGACACAGTTCTTTACATTCAAGGAGATTTACATGTAAATTCTTTTCTTATCACACAATGGGAAAATTATGATTCTAATTATCAAAAGAGAAATAATCCCCTGTAGAAATAAATTGTTAAGTATACTATAAATAACAAGGAATTGAATATTCATTCCATAAAATATTCTTATATCAGGCTAAGTAATGTTTTCTTCCATGTTGCTATACCCATCCCCTTTCCTGACCTCAATCCGTACCTTCTCCACCTTACTGTCATGGTCAAGTTCTGGCAAGCACAATGTGCCTCACCATGTATTTTCTCCATTGGGTACACATTACAGCCAAAGTCTGACAGGTGTCAGTTGTAAGCAACTTCATCTGAAATACTGATTCAACTAAAAAATTCTACCACGTATGAAAGGTTTGAGATTTTTTCAGGGCAATACATACGGGGAGGAAGCAGAAACTATCCTTGCGTTTG